AGTCAGTGTGTGTGGGAGCTGTACCCCAGTGAGAGTCAGTGTGTGTGTGGGAACCGTACCCGAGTGAGAGTCAGTGTGTGTGGGACTGTACCCCAGTGAGAGTCAGTGTGTGTGTGGGAACCGTACCCCAGTGAGAGTCAGTGTGTGTGGGACTGTACCCCAGTGAGAGTCAGTGTGTGTGGGAACTGTGGTTTAAATAAAAATCTTTGAAAAGAACAGAAATCAAACATTTGCATGAAAGGTCCAAAAATAATGTAAATTCCCAGAAATGCTGCCTTGATCTCTCTGTTTACCTTTTGCTGTCTTTACACCTTCATGAGGTGGAAGGTGAGAGAAATTCTGTGTTTTTTGGATGTGGCGAAGGAAGTGGGGAGAGTCATGTCATTAATAGTCACTTTTCAAACAATTAAACCTTCTCCCCCTCCAACACTCCCATTCCACCAAACCCCCGCCCTCTCATCAGAGTCTTAGACAGTGGGCTCTCAGCCCCAGCACACCTCCTACAAGGGAAGACTTTAGCAACAATTAATGTTAATACTCACCTCCGCTCGAAGTCTGCCAGAAACATGCAGCACACTGATACACCAGCAACGCTGCAGAAAGAGGAAGTTTCAATGAATTTGAGAGTTTGGATAATGTGGGTGGGGTGGCTTGACAAAACACGAGACACAATGTCTCACCCACTTACTGTCATTCACGTGTACATTAATTGGAAGGTTTTGAGCAAGGCTATTCAGCCCATTGTGCGTGGCCTGGACCAGCTCCCTGAAGCTGCTGTTGATATACAATAAGGTGGTGGCATGGTAATGCAGTGGTTTAATTTGGTGATAACCAAAAACTGGTTTTGGCTACAAAGGTGGCAAATTTCCTGAGCTGGCTACAGATTTATTCAACCTGTGCAGAAATATTATCACACACCTCTGAAGCAGCTGAGCCTTGAACCCAGCCCTCCCGGCTCACAGACAAGTTACACTGACTCAAATCGCTCTGAGATTGTATCTTGTTAATTTGCATTTCAAGTGCCTCAATACTCGTTCCAGAACAACCATTGGCCACAGCTCAAGCCACTTGTTGAAATGTTGACTCGGTTCTCTCACTGGGATTGACTCTTGGCCTCAGAACCAATTGGGGCTACCCCCAGCCTGCTTGGGCTGAATGGCAGCAGAAATCTTTCCAGTAGCTGCCCATGGAGAGGCTTTAGCCAGGATCACTACCCAGCTACAGGAGCTGGTCAGCTGCCTCAGCGAATCCACGAGAGATGGGAAAGGGTAGGTCTCACTGTGGCTCAAAGCCCTGCTCTGAACTTTCTTCATTCATTTCCAGGGTGTGGGTGTTGCTGGCTGGGCCCAGCATTTACTGCCCCGTCCCTAGTTGCCCCTTGAGAAGGTGGGTGTGAGCTGCCTTCTTGAACCTCTGCAGTCCTTGTGCTGTGGGTTGACCCACAATACCATTAGGGACGGAATTCCAGGATTTTGACCCCAGTGCCACTGAAGGAATGTGATATATTTCCAAGTCAGGATGGTGAGTGGCTTGGGGGGGCTGGGGGGGGTAGTCTTGCAGGGGGCTGGTGTTCCCATGTGTCTGCTACCATCGTCTTTCTAGATGGAAGTGATCAATATAACAGAAATGTGTCAACACTGAGTAAAGTGTGCAATTTATTTAAGCAATTGTCAACATTAAGAAGGAAAGAGAAGTAACTCTATTAGTGAGCAATAAAGCACTGTTTAAGATACATTTTAAATGTAAAGAAGAAAGTTTTATTGGAGCACAAACATTATCCCCATGTTGGTCTGTTCATCACAGTGCTGCAGAATGCTCACGTTTCCATATCTCAGAATGCCAGGGAAGCTAGTCCGAGACCACTGCGGGTGTGGTGGGAGGGTAGGCAGGATGCTGGGGGACAGGGTGGGCTGTTTTGCTGGTGGTCTGAGAGAAAAGCTCTGAATTGGATCCTTTGGTCATGGGGTGACAGCCGCCCACCACCCCCTCCAGTAAACTGGCTTTAGAACAGGACTGTCAGGAACATTCTGGTCTGGCTAAATGTTTAACACATCCTCACCTCACAGTCCAACACCTGCATTTATAACAAAAAGAGAAATTGCTGGATAAACTCAATGGGTCTGGCAGCATCTCTGCAACTGGATCCTCAGCTTTCTGACCCACAGACCCCAATCAGTGAAGATAGACAACTGCACTTCCTCCACGATAACAATCAATACTTCAGTCCCCCAAGGATGCGTTCTCAGCTGTCTACTGTACTCCCTGTATACTCGCGACTGTGTAGCCAAGTTCTAAACAAATGCCATCTACAAATTTGCTGACAACACCACTGTGGTAGGACGGATATCAAACAAAGAGAGTCAGAATACAGAAAGGAGATAGAGGGCTTGGTGATGTGGTGCAATGAGAACAACTTCTCCCTCAATGTTGGCAAAACTAAAGAACTGATCGTTGACTTCAGAAAGAAAGGAGGAGAATGCGCCCCCATCTACATCAAAGGAACTGAGGTTGAGAGGTTTGAGAGCATCAAGTTTTTAGGAATGATGATAACTGACAACCTGTGCTGAACTTCCCAAGTAGATGCAATGGTCAAGAATGCACAACATCATCTCTTCTCCTCAGGCAGCTCAGGAAATTTGGCATGTCTACAAGGTCCCTCACCAACTTTTACAGATGCACTATTGAAAGCATACTGTCCAGGTGCATATCGGCCTGGTATGGCAACTGCTCTGCCCAGGGCTGTAGGAAACTACAGAAGGTGGTGTGCACAGCCCAGACCATCACAGAAGCCAACCTTCCATCCATGGACTCCATTTACTCACTGCCACGGAAAGGCCAACATCATCAAACTCCCCCATCCCACCCTGGTAATGCTCTCTTCTGCCAGGCAGAAGATACAGAAGCCTGAACACACGCACCAGCAGGTTCAGGAACAGCTTCTTCCCTACCGTTATTAGACTGATGAATGGACATTCAAACTTCAGATAATGCTGATCTTGTTAATGTTGATCATGCCTAGCACACATCCTGTGCAGTGTAACCTGTATGCCTTACTCTATCCAAGTTTTTTTTTCACCCTATGATCTGGATGTCCTTGCTTACTATGATCTGCCTTTACTGCTCGCAAACAAAGCTTTTCACTGTACTTAGGTATATGTGACAATTAATCAAATCAATCGATCAGCCTGCAGAGAAAGAAACAGAGTTAACGTTTCAAGCCAGGTGGCCCATCTTCAGAACTGATAGTCTCTGGGGAAAGGTGGTATATATGCTGATGGGCAGAGGGAAAGTGCAAGCAGATAGATGGGCAACAAATTCTGGGCCAGCTAATGATACCCACATCCCATGAGTGAACAAAAAGAGCCAAGAGAGAGAGAGAAAGGCAGATGAAGGGATGGTTGATGGTAAGCTGGGGGAAAAGAAAAGCTGATAATAGGCCTAATGAGTAGTTGAAAAAGGGTTAGCTGTACTGAAAGCAGCCCATGTGATAACAAGGCCTGGTGTGTGGGGGCTGGGGTAAAGGACATGGAAGGTGCTCAGGCCCTAAAATTATTGAATTCAGTATCGAGTCCTGAAGTTGCAGGGTTCCCAAATGGAAAATGAGGTGTTGTTCTTCCAGCTTGCACTGAGCTTCGCTGGAACACTGCAGTAAGCCAGAGACAGACAAGTTGGCCAGGGAACAGGGTGGTATGGTAAAGTGGCAGGCAACTGGAAGCTCAGGGTCTATTTTGTGAGCAGAACGTAGATGTTCTGTAAAGCGGTCACCCAGTCTATGCTTCGTTTCCCCAGTGTAGGGGAGACCACATTGTGAGCAGCGAATGCAGTAGACTAGATTCTTGGAAGTGCAGGTGAAGTGTTGCTTCACCTGGAAGGTATGTTTGGGCCCTTGGATACTGGGGAGGGAGGAGATAAATGGGCAGGTGTTGCTCCTTCACTGGTTACAGGGAAAGGTGCTGTGGGGGCGAAAGAAGTGTGGACCAGGGTGTCCCAGAGGGAACGGTTCCGGCAGAAGGCAGACAAGAGAGGGGAGGGGAGTATGTGTCTGGTGGTGGCATCTTGCTGGAGGTGGCAGAAATGGCACCTAATGATCCTCTGGATGTGGATGCTGGTGGGATGATCAGTAAGGATAAGGAAAACCCTATTGCTGTTGTGGGAGGGAAGAAAAGGGGTGAGGGCAGAAGTGCAGGAGATGGGTCATACCCTTTCGACAACAGTGCTGGGGAATAGTCAGTGGAGGAAGAAAGGGTACATTTGGGAGGTCCCTTGTCTAAGTTGGAGGTGACAGAGACTGGGGAACTGGGAGAATGGAATAAAGTCTTTACAGGAAGCAGGGTGTAAGAACATATAGTCCAAGTAGCTTTGGGAGTTAAGTCAGTTTATGGTGGATATTGGTTGCCAGTCTATCTCCAGAAATGGACAGAGATGTTGAAGGGAAGAGAGAAGTCAGAGATAGACCAGGTGAAGGTGAGAGCAGGGTGGAATGTGGAAGGAAAATTGATCATTTTCCAATGGCAATTACAATCTCACCCACATCCACACAAATTAGGCTTGAGCTTTTTCCACCTCGGGTGTTGAAATCTGTCGTGGGAGTGTGTGGGACAATATAGAGGGAGCTTTACTCTGTATCTAACCCCATGCTAACCCTGTCCTGGGAGTGGACAGCATAGGGCAAGTTTTAATTTTAGTTTAACAAGTCACAGGAGTTTTGGTTTCAGCTTGGTTGTCTTTTTTCTTTTTCAAAGTTTTCGATGGTGATTGTTAAGATTACAGATAATGAAGCTTACACTTCACTTCTTCATTTCAGTTCAGATTATTTATCTAGACTTGAGCTTCATGACATTCATCTTAACCCTTTCCTTACTGAACCCATTGCCTTATAAACAGCTCTATCTTCAGGGATTCTGAAGCTCGTGACACACAATCAGTACACTAAGTAGCTGGGGGGGAAGGAGGAGGTGGTCTGCTCTGATGTGAAGGGAGCAGTTGGGGCAAAATTGAATCAGTTGAAGTCTCATTTATGTCAGCCAGTTTGTCAGCAGGGGAAATAGGGCTCAGTTTGTCACACCAACAGCTCCTGCCTGATCTCACAGGTACACACACATACAAATATACACAGATTAACAGACACTTGCTCAGAACCGGGAGTGGGATCACGTCAAGGGAAAAAAAATGCAAAATACCAACACAACAGCCGAAACGTAGAAAGCACTCGAGAAACTCTGCAGGTTTAGCAGCAGCTGCTGAGTTCACATTGAGTCCCAATGACCCTTTGTTAGAGCAATATCTAAACTTTTATTTCACACACATGGCAGCTCCAGAGTTTTGAGAAAATTTTTTCAACGGACGTGGGTGGCATCAGCATTTGTTGGCTGTCCCTAGGTGTCATTGAAAAGGTGGGGGTGAGCTGCCTTCTTGAACTGTCACAATGCCCTCAGGGAGGGTATTCCAGGGTTTTGACCCAGCGACTCTGAAGGGATGGCGATAAATTTCAGGATGGTGAGTGGCTCGGCAGGAAACTTGCAGCGGGTGGCGCTCCCATGTGTCTGCTGCCCTTGTCCTTCTGGGTGGAAGTGGTTGTGGGTTTGGGAGGTGCTGTCTGAGGAGCTTTGGTGAGTTTTTGCAGCGCATCTTGTAGAAGTACATACTGTTGCTGAATGGTTTGTGCTGGCAGAGGGAATGAACACTGAAGGTGATGTATTGGTGGCCAATCAAGCAGGCTGCTTTGTTCCTGGATAGTGTCAAGTTTCTTGAGTGTTATTGGAGCTGCACTTATCCAGGCAAGTGGGGAGTATTCCATCGCACTTGTAGAAGGTGGGCAGGCTTTGAGGAGTCAGAAGGCGAGTTACTCGCTGCAGTATTCCCAGCTTCTGACCTGCTCTTGTAGCTACAATGCTTACTGTTACGGTCTGGTCTAAAAACAGAAACAGGCAACTTTATGAGAGGAAGTGGCTGATTTAGTGAGATTACCATCTCATTCAGAACTTGACAGCATGACAGAGACAGATTCTGCCAGCAGACTCTGATGAGGGTGTTGGAATCATCTGGAGTTCTCTGGTTGTTTGGCAAATAGTAACAACGGCAAAGAAGGAAACTCTATCAGTTCTAGATTCCAATCTTCAGGGTCCTGCTGCATAGTGAATGGAGATGGAAATGGGAGTTGGGGGGGTGAGCTGGTCCTGTGATGCTGTCTTTGCTGAACAGCCTGCTGGCATTCAACATCAAGAGCTGCCATATGAGAATGGGATCCATGCGTGAACTCTGGAAGAACCGCTGCCACTCGCGGGAGGTGCAGGCAGGTGGTGGTAGTGGGCAGGGGGAGAGAGAGAGTAGCTAAAGAGCAGAGGCTGTGGTTACTGGTGAAGAGGTCATTCCTGAAACATGATCGTGGAGAACGCTCCACACCTATACCATACTTGACCGCAAATGCCCTGCTGTTAACTCCCTTCCACATACAGCAGAGTCCCATTCACTCCTTCCCAGCCTCCCCACAGGGTCAACACAAACCATTTGTAATTAATAAAATAACTTTTAATAAAACATAATATGTTGTGCTACAGCAATGAGAACAAATTCAATTAAAGAGGGCCCAGGGAGATGATAGTGATGATGTGCAGTTTTGTCACTACCTTTCTGAACAGCATTATTTACTGCACCTCAAAATTTAACTCCAGAAAACACTAACAGTCCATTCCTCATGACTAAAACATTGAGAACATTAAAAGTAATTAGTGAATCCCCTTCCTCCAGTTGTTTGTACGCTGTGTCTGTTGATCAATTTGGATTCAGCAATCGAGGGAAGCAGTCCTCCATCCTGCTCTTGTTTCCAAACACAGTGAGGGGAAACCATCCATAAACCTGGGAGGTCTTCTCCTGAAATTAAAAAGAACACATCACTACAATTGGCAGAATCACAAAGTGTACACAAGGGCCAATACTCAATGGCCCATTCCTCTGGCAAAAGTGCTACGCCCTGCCCACACCACTTCAGGACTTGGCTTTGCTGCAGCCTCCTCTTACTGAAGCTGTCTGCAAAACCTTTCATCTCCCCGCAACCTCCAAACACCCAGACCATAGATACTCCTCCTCCTGTGCTGCCTAATGACCAATCTCAATCCTCATTCCCAACTGTAAACCAGGAGATTCCAGTAGCACAGATCAGGTAGTTGGATAAAGAGGGTAGAGAACAGGATGATGGTGTGCAGCAGATTCACTGTCAATGAAGCAGCAAACTGGCCAGTACAGGCAATCAAATATACAGCACTGAAAGAGGCCATAGCCCAACCAGACAATGATGGGCTCTCTGTTCCTCATGACCGTTCTGCCTGACCCCCCACTCAAACACAAACATAGAAACTGGGTGCAGGAGTAGGCCATTCGGCCCTTCGAGCCTGCACTGCCATTCAGTATGATCAAGGTTGATCATGAAATCTCAGTATCCCATCCCCACCCTCTCCCCATATCTCTTGGTCCCTTTAGCCGCAAGGGCCATGTCCAGCTCTCTCTTGAATATATCTAACATAACGTCCCCTGGGGGAGAGAATTCCACAGGTTCTTTCAACAAGTTCTTTCTCATCTCAGTCCTGAATGGCTTACCCCTTATTCTTCGATGGTGACCCCTTGTTCTGGACTTCCCCCAACATCAGGAACATTCTTCCTGCATCTAGCCTGCCCAGTCCCATCAGGATTTTATGTTTCTACGAGATTCCCCCTCATTCTTCTAAATTCCAGTGAGTACAAGCCCAGTCGATCCAGTATTTTCCCCCTATGTCAGTCCTGCCATCCTGGGAATCAGTCTGGTGAACCTTCGCTGGACTCCCTCAATAGCAAGAATGTCCTTCCTCAGAGTAGAGGGCCAAAACTGCACGCAATACTCAAGGTGTGGCCTCACCAAGGCCCTGTGTAACTGCAGCAAGACATCCTTACTCCGATACTCAAACCCTCTCACTATGAAGGCCAGCATGCCATTACCTTTCCTCACCGCCTGCTGCACCCGCATGCCAACCTTCAGCAACTGTTCCACCATGACACCCAGGGCTCGTTACACTCATTCCTTTTGGTCTCTGCCACCATCACCCTTAAATCTTACACTGAGAAAAAAAATTCTCATCTGCCTCAAATGGGCAACCCCTGATCTTTAAATAGTAGCCCTTAGTTTGAGATTCTTCCCCAACAGGAAACATCCTTTCAACCCGCCTAGTGCGACCCCTTGAACTGTTTCCAACACACCACAGAGTAGGTAAAACTGTACTCTGTATTCCAGATCCAGTGCTGTGTAACTGAACCATAACCTCCCTTCTTTTGTATTCACTTCCCCTCACAATAAACAGTAACAGTGTAATAGCTATCCCAATTACTTACAATACCTGAATACAGAAGTGGGGTGGGTTTGGATGGGGTGCTGTTCAGAGGATTGATGTGGATGCAATGGGCTGAATGGCCTGCTTTCCACACTGTAGGGATTCTATGAAGCTGAGGTTCTCTGTATCTCTGTGTGAGTTGTGTTGTAGAGGTGCACTAAGATATCTCTATTATTTCGATAGCAAGCTTTTTTAATCCTCTTGCCAAAATGGACAACATCACATTTTACTCCATTTCCCAGATCTTTGTCCACTTAGCTTCTTTGCGCCTTTTTGGCTATTTAGCACAAAATTAAATCTGAGATTTCTCCTGCTATTTGTTATTCTGCAGCTCTCAGATAAGGAGCTAACTGGGGTACAACAGTTGCTCAGGCTTAGATTCTCTCTGCACCTCTACAACACAACTCACACAGAGATACAGAGAACCTCAGCTTCATAGAATCCCTACAGTGTGGAAAGCAGGCCATTCAGCCCATTGCATCCACATCAATCCTCTGAACAGCACCCCATCCAAACCCACCCCACTTCTGTAACCCTGCATTCCCCATGGCTAACCTTCCTAGCGTGCAGGTCCCTGCACACTATGGCGATTTAACATGGTCAATCCAGCTAATCTGCACATCTTTGGACTGTGGGAGGAAACCCACACACAGACACGGGGAGAACGTGTGGAGTTTGCACAGACAGCAGCCCAAGGCTGGAATCAAACCTGGGTCCCTGGTGCTGTGAGGCAGCAGTGCTAACTACTGAGCCACTGCTTCTCAACACCAGCCATGTGAAGACCTCACCTGCTAAATTCTACTGCTATAATGTCCACCTGAGAGGACACAACTAGATCCTTTGGTCACTACCTTGAGCTGGAGATAGGGAACTGGGTCCAGTGTCCTATCCAATATTTCTCCCTGAACCAATACCACTTTCATGGCCAAACAATCATTTCTTTTAAACTGTCACAGCTGTTTGTAGGGGCTTGCTCCGTGCCAACTACCTGCTACTTACCCCTACACTGTAGAGACTACACTTCATAAATCTCATCACTGGTTGTAAAGTATTTTTGGAATGTTCCAAGGACTGAAAGGCTATCTAGAAACTCATGTCCTTTATTTACCCCATTCTCACTCATTGGTGCCTGAGAGTTTTTCCAAGTGTACGTCACCCTGCACCAATATATCTTCACTATGAAGCATAAGGGGACAAAAGTGAAGCATCAGGGGACAAAAGTGAAGCACAAGTCCTGGACTCTAGTACAAGTATTATTTTAAGATAATGATTTAATACTGATTATTTCTCAATGACAAACGCAGCCACAAAAAAGTTGCAACATCAGAAACTACTTTCATTCTCAGTCACTAGTAATTTCTGCTGACAGCTAACCATTTCATCCCCAGGGCAATCACTCAGCGTTTTTTCCTTGGCCGGAGGTTCCATCTGGACACCACTTCTGTTTCACTTGTGGGGGCAATAGTTTGTTCTGGGGCAGAGGGCTGTTCTGAGGGAGGCTGCTCTTCCACTGTTTCCTGTTAAATTGATAAAACAACAGAATTATAATGCAGCGAACAACATGCAAACCCCTGTCCAAGGTGCCATTCTTCACTCAGGTAATGATGGCAGCTTCTCCACCATGAGGGCACCACTTGCAAGTCAGGTCCCACAACTTTCCAATAGGACTTGCTGGGCACAGGAGTCTGTGCTGGCTGGTACAGCGCTTCATGCTCCACTGGACAGGGCGATACAGGCAGATGGGGGAGGCAGGGAGAGGCAACGAAATAGCAGGGCAGGGTGGATGACGGTGCCCTCATAATTTAACCCTTTATGTCTTTTAGGCAAAACCAGGGTGCCTAGCAGAATGAAGCTGCAAACCAGACAAAAACCTCATTTCGGATTTTTAAAAATCTTTAAGTTTAGATCATTCAGCCACAGACACAGTCATAAACAATTGGACCTTGAAGTCGACATGTCAAATCAATGTGACAAACCAACTATGAATTGGTTTTGGGATGATAAGGCCAGCATTGGTCACCTGTTCAGGCCATTTCAGAGGGCAGTTCATTTCAAGGACATGGCATTGAGTCTGGAGTCACATGTAACCCAGATCAGGAAACGGCAGTAGATTTTCTTCCCTGGGCATTACAACAATTGACAGTGCTTTCATGGTCACTGTCACTAAGACTAGATTTATATTCCAGACTTTTATAAACTTAATTTAACTTCCAGCAAAATATAACAAAGAACTCTGAATGCTGGAGATCTGAAACTAAACCTGGCAAAACTCAGCAGGCCTGGCAGCATCCTGGGGGAAAAAAAAAAACTTTACATTTCAAGTCTGGTAACTTTGTCAGAGCAGACAGCAGCTGGGGAAAAGTGGTATTTATGAAGACAAGGGGGATAGGGGCATGGATGGACAGAAGGTGTGTGAACAGTTGGAGATCCATTCCCTTCTCCCTTTCCCCACTCCTCCACTAACTATTTCTTCAGCATAAATACCACTTTTCCCTAGATACTATCAGTTCTGAAGAAGTGTCACCAGGCTTGAAAAGTCAACTCTGCTTTTTTCCCCCATGGATGCTGCCAGGCCTGCTGAGTTTCTCCAGCAATTTCTGATTTTGTTAACTTCCAGCAATCTGCAATAGTGGGTTTTGAATCCACATCTCCAGAGCATTAGCCCGGTCCTCTGGATTACGCACCAGGTGACATTACTACTACACTGCCATCTTGCCATGGTTATTCCTGCAGCACAAAAGCTGGTTGCAAAGCAGATGGGAGCAAGACAGACGCAGACAGAGACCAGCAATCACTACACGTTTTGACTGATGTATTTCTGTAACACCCTCCCCCCATTCAAACTCACGTGCTGGTTATTTCTGCTTTCCAAGCCTCCCTGTCCCCAGTACGCAGCCACAGCAGCAATGAAAGTTGAATGATAGCATCTGGATCAGTGAGATCATGGAGTCCCTACTCACTCTGCTCTGGGCTTTGCTCACTTGTTCAACACACAACTAACGTTTTTAACCCCAACTTCCTTTTCCATAAAAAACTGAACAATGACAAAGAAACAGGCACGGACTTCCTGTATTCAGACAGTCTGCCTCGATTACCGGCTGGCTCGTCTATGTGAACATTTAACCCTTCCTACAGTAAACATTTCACTAGTGCCAGAGCACTATTTGGTGCAGCAACTCCCAGCTCCCAGGGAAAAAAAATAAAACAAATAAACCCTTCATTACTGGTTGGGGTGACTCGTGTGTTGACCCTGGGTGGTTTAGAGACTGTACTGACTGGGTTATCCGGAAATGGAGGGCTGAAACCTCAGTGTGGTTATTTAATACCAACTGGAAAAGTGACCAGAACTGTAGGACTGTCATTCACAACCTCAACTGGCTCATGAAGGCCACAGCGCCCTCACCCCAAGAAAAAAAAAAAAGGTATCTCCTGCCCTAACCCAATCTGGACTGATATGTAACTCCAGTCCCACCAATGGTGGCTGACCATTAACTGTCCTACTCAATGTATCAAACCCACTGCCATTAAAAGTGAATCTTTTTTCTTCTTCTCTCAGTGGGTGAGGGACTCCCCTTTGAAACTCTTCCTCATAAGACGGTGGAAACAGTGTCTTTGGATACTTTTAAGGCAGAGGTGGCTAGATTCTTGATAAAAGGAGAACGAACAAAAGAGAAGTACAGCACAGGTACAGACCCTTCAGCCCTCCAAGCCTGTGCCGATCATCATGCCCTAATTAAACTTAAAAAAACCCTTCTGCACCTATTTGGTCCATATCTCCATTCCCTCCCTATTCATGTAACCATGCAGATGCCTCTTAAATGACACCAATGTGCCTGCTTCCACCATCTCCTCTGGCAGCACGTTCCAGGCTCCTGCCACTCAGAAAAACCTCCCTCGCACATCTCCCTTAAACCTTACCCCCTTCTCAACTTGAACCTGTGGTCCCTTGTAATTGAAACTTCAACCCTGGGGAAAAAGCCTCTGACTATCCACCCTATCTATGCCTCTCAATTTTGTAGACCTGTATCAGGTCTCCTCTCAGCTGCCATCTTTCCAGTGAAAACAATCCTAGTCTTTTTAACCTTTCCTCATAGCCAATGCCCTCGAGACCGGGCAACATCCCGGTGAACCTTCTCTGCACTCTCTCTAAAGCTTCCACGTCCTTCTGATAATGTAGTGACCAAAACTACTCCAATACTCCAAATGCAGCCTAACAAGGGTTTTATATAGCTGCGATAACAAGGTGTAGAGCTGGATGAACACAGCAGGCCAAGCAGCATCAGAGGAGCAGGAAAGCTGACGTTTCGGGCCTAGACCCTTCTTCAGAAATGGGGGAGGGGAAGGGGGTTCTGAAATAAAGGGGGGGGGGGGTCGGGGGGTGGGAGGCGGATAGAAGATGGATAAAGGAGAAGATAGGTGGAGAGCAGACAGACAGGTCAAAGAGGCGGGGATGGAGCCAGTAAAGGTGAGTGTAGGTGCAGAGTTAGGGAGGAGATAGGTCAGTCCAGGGAGGACGGACAGGTCAAGGGGGCGGGATGAGGCTAGTAGGTAGGAGATGGGGGTAGGGCTTGAGGTGGGAGGAGGGGATAGGTGGGAGGAAGGACAGGTTAGGGAGGCGGGGACAAGCTGGGCCGGTTTTGGGATGCGGCTGGGGGAGGGGAGATTTTGAAGCTTGTGAAGTCCACATTGATACCATTAGGCTGCAGGGTTCCCAAGCAAAACATGAGGTGCTGTTCCTGCAACTTTCGGGTGGCATCGTTGTGGCACTGCAGGAGGCCCAGGATGGACATGTCGTCAAAGGAATGGGAGGGGGAGTTGAAATGGTTCGCGACTGGGAGGTGCAGTTGTTTAGTGCGAACCGAGCATAGGTGTTCTGCAAAGCGGCCCCCCAGCCTCCGCTTGGTTTCCCTGATGTAGAGGAGGCCACAACGGGAACAGCAGATGCAGTATACCACATTAGCAGATGTGCAGGTGAACATCTGTTTGATGTGGAAGGTCTTCTTGGGGCCTGGGATGAGGGTGAGGGGGGAGGTGTAGCACTTCCTGCAGTTGCAGGGAAAAGTGCCGGGTGTGGTGGGGCTGGAGGGGTGTGGTGCGAACAAGGGAGTCACGGATAGAGTGGTCCCTCTGGAAAGCAGATAAGGGTGGGGAGGGAAAAATGTCTTTGGTGGTGGGGTCAGATTGCAGATGGTGGAAGTGTCGCCATACTACAACTGACCTCTACATCGCCGAGGCCAGACGCCAGACGCCAGCTCTCTAACACTTCCTCCTACCGCCCCCTTGATCATGACCCCACCCCCGACCACCAAAACATCATCTCCCAAACCATCCACAACCTCATCACTTCAGGTGACCTCCCACCCACAGCCTCCAACCTCATCGATCCCCAACCCCGCACCACCCGCTTCTATCTCCTTCCCAAAATCCACAAACCTGACTGCCCTGGTTGACCCATTGTCTCTGCCTGCTCCTGTCCCACCAAACTTATCTCTACTTATCTCGACTCCACGTTCTCCCCCTTGGTCCAGGAACTCCCCACCTACATCCATGACACCACCCACGCCCTCCACCTCTTCCAAAACTTCCAATTCCCTGGTCCCCAACACCTCATCTTTACCATGGACATCCAGTCCCTATACACCTACATTCCCCATACTGATGGCCTAAAGGCCCTCAGCTTCTTCCTGTCCTGCAGGCCCGACCAGTCCCCCTCCACTGACACCCTCATCTGCTCAGCCGAACTCATCCTCACCCTTAACAACTTCTCTTTCAATTCCTCCCACTTCCTACAGACAAAGGGGATGGCCATGGGTACCTGCATGGGCCCAAGCTATGCCTGCCTCTTTGTAGGTTACGTGGAACAATCCCTCTTCCAAAGCTACACTGGCCCTAATCCCCACCTCTTCCTCCGTTACATTGATGACTGTATCGGCGGCGCCTCATGCTCCCACGAGGAGCCAGCAGTTCATCCACTTCACCAGCAACTTCCACCCCAACCTTAAGCTCACCTGGACCATCTCTGATATCTCTCTCTCCTTCCTGGACCCCTCTGTTTCCATCTCTAGCAACCACCTAGACCGATACCCATTTCAAGCCCACCGACTCCCACAGCTACCTAGAATACACCTCCTCCCACCCACCTTCCTGCAAAAATGCCATCCCCTATTCCCTCGCCTCCGCCGCATCTGCTCCCAGGATGAGGCATTCCACTCCCGAACATCTCAGATGTCCTCGTTTTTCAAGGACCGCAACATCCACCCCCTCAGTGGTCGAGAACGCCCTTGACCGTGTCTCCCGCATTTCCCGCAACTCATCCCTCACACCCCCTCCCCACAATAACAACCAAAACAGAATCCCCCTCGTCCTCACGTACCACCCCACCAACCTCCGGATCCAACGCATCATCCTCCGACACTTCCGCCATCTGCAATCCGACCCCACCACCAAAGACATTTTTCCCTCCCCACCCTTATCTGCTTTCCAGAGGGACCACTCTATCCGTGACTCCCTCGTCCGCTCCACACTCCCCTCCAGCCCCACCACACCCGGCACTTTTCCCTGCAACCGCAGGAAGTGCTACACCTGCCCCTACACCTCCCCCTCACCCCCATCCCAGGCCCCAAGAAGACCTTCCACATCAAGCAGGTGTTCACCTGCACAGCTGCTAATGTGGTATACTGTATCCGCTGTTCCCGTTGTGGCCTCCTCTACATCAGAGAAACCAAGCGGAGGCTTGGGGACCGCTTTGCAGAACACCTACGCTCAGTTCGCACTAAACAACTGCACCTCCCAGTCGCGAACCATTTCAACTCCCCCTCCCATGTCGATGCCCATCCTAGGCCTCCTGCAGTGCCACAACGATGCCACCCGAAGGTTGCAGGAACAGCACCTCATATTTTGCTTGGGAACCCTGCAGCCTAATGGCATCAATGTGGACTTCACAAGCTTCAAAATCTCCCCTCCCCCTACCGCATCCCAAAACCAGCCCAGCTCGTCCCCGCCTCCCTAACCTGTCCTTCCTCCCACCTCAAGCCCCACCCCCATCTCCTACCTACTAGCCTCATCCCGCCCCCTTGACCTGTCCGTCCTCCCTGGACTGACCTATCTCCTCCCTAACTCCACACCTACACTCACCTTTACTGGCTCCATCCCCGCCTCTTTGACCTGTCTGTCGCCTCTCCACCTATCTTCTCCTCTATCCATCTTCTATCCGCCTCCCCCTCTCTCCCTATTTATTTCAGAACACCCTTCCCCTCCCCTATTTCTGAAGACGACTCTAGGCCCGAAACGTCAGCTTTCCTGCTCCTATGATGCTGCTTGGCCTGCTGTGTTCATCCAGCTCTACACCTGGTTATATCAGATTCTCCAGCATCTGCAGTTCCTACTATCTCTGAAACACTTTTACATAGTTGTAACATGTTTTGCCAACTCTTGCACTCCATGCCCCGGCCGATGAAAGCAAGCGTACTATATGCCTTCTTAATCACCTTGGCCACCTGTGTTGCCACTTTTAGGGAACTGTGGACCTGCACGTCCAGATCCGTCTGGATATATTAATGTTCCTAAGGGTTCTGTCATTTACTGTATAATTAAATTTGATCCTCCAAAATGCTTCACCTCGCATTTGTCTGGATTAAACTCCATCTGCCATTTCTGTGCCCAAGGCGCCTATCTATATCCTGTTGCACCCTTTCACAATCGTTGGCACTATCAGCAATTCCACCAATCTTCGGGTCATCTGCAAACTTACTAATCAGACCACCCATGTTTTCCTCCACATCATTTATATATACTACAGACAGGGGGCCTAAGACTGCTCCCTGTGGAACACCACTAGTTACCGGTCTCCATTGTGAAAAACATCCTTCCACTGCTACCCTCTGTCTTTTATGACCAAACCAGTTTTGTATCCGTCTGGCCGGCTCACCCCGAATCCCATGTGATTTTAATTTTTGTACCAATCTGCCATATGGGACTTAGTCAAATGCCTTACTAAAGTCCATATAAACTACATCCACAGCCTCACTTATCTTTGTCACCTCTTCAAAAAAATTCAGTGAGGTTGGTGAGACATGACCTTCCCTGTCCAAAGCCATGCTGCCTGAGACTAACTAGCCCGTTTTCTTCCAAATGTGCACCTATCTTGTCCCTCAGTATCTTCTCCAACAGCTTCCCCACCACAGACATCAGGCTCACCAGCCTATAATTTCCTGGATTACCCCTGCTTCCTTTTTTAAGGAAGGGAACAACATTGGCTGATCTCCAGTCCTCTGGAGCAGGACAATACTGCCCTAACTGCCATCTCCATCCTTGTCCACTTGAAAAAAAATCTTACCTTGCCTTGCTGGGAAGGATGAGGGAAGAGAGACAGAGGGAGATAGAGAAAGAAAGGTTATTGACGGGGGTGGGAATGGGGATTTGAAATTATAATCAGAACGGTCTTGAATTTACTAAATGCCAGAATAGGCTAAAGGACCTGAATGGTCTACTTCTGCTCTTTGTGTGTCTGTATACATCAGTGGTTGAGGAAGGGACTTCATAGATTAGGGAGGGCCTATAAATGCCAGCCTTGCCAGTGACTGCCACATCCCAAGAATGAATTAATAAACTACTTTACAAACTCACACGGGTGAGCATTGAGCTAATATTGGCCACGTAGATCAGGAAAAATCCCAGCCTGCTGTCCAGTTTGTACAGAGTTGATCAATGAGGTGACAAACAGCCTCTTTGCCCCAGATTGGTGGAGGAGGGGGACTCAGTAGGGAAATAAAGTATTTCACTGCAGTACAATAACATGTAAATGTGTGGTCACAGACTGAATGAAGTCATGAAAACTGGACAATATGGTGCTGTGGGTAGACTGGAGATGGTTTCTACACTTCTCCCAGGGGCGGGGAGACAGAAACAAAGAGATAAAACAGAGTTCAGTCATCTATATCGTCTTACTCACCAGGCTGCCTGACAAGTTATAGCCAAATGACAGATCAGTGAAGGAGACTTCAAAGGGTTGATGTAACTCTCTGCTGGCCACTTCATCTGCAGCAGACCGCTCACGAGGGTCTGCAGCACTGTCCTCAGTCTCTCCATCAGTGTCCATGCATTCACTCTCTCCCTCAGAGCTCTGGTCAGGGGCTCCCATCGATGGGTTGACTGTGGTCCGGGTTCCATGAGGTGGCAGTGTAGCTAGGAACGCTGGCAGTGCGAACACGGAAAGGAACCGGGATTTCAGGAGCTGGTAGGTTGAGTCATTTTGCAGACGCTCAGTTACCAGGACCCTAGCTGCCTCGAGTCTCTCTTTACGGTCAGTTCCATCAGGAGCTCCAAAGCCTGACAGATTCTGTTCTAGGGCCTTCTTGTGCAGCAGTAGGTTTGAGAATGTTCTTAGTGTGGAAGAAAAGGGGGGCAGGTATGGCAGCGTAGCAGACATGCCTGGCACCTGCACACCACCCTTGCCTTGTAGCCACTCTCTCATTACTGCTTCTTGCTCACAGGACAAAAGACTAAAGTCGACAGTGTGTTTGCTCGGCTGTGGTCTGCTCAGGGTTTCCTGGTGCTGTGTTAAGAACCTGGGGCCTGTAGGTGGAACTCCTGGAGTCAGTAACAAACCTCCTCCCTGAACAAGGGGCCTGGGGAGATTCTGATTGACGGAGCTGGCCGCTGGTAAACGGAGATTGGTTGGATTGGGGAGAACAGCAGTTAGTGCCACAGTGTGGGCTGAAGCTTTGTGAGCAGCTGCTGGTGTTTGAATTGCTGGTGAAGGGAAGGCCACAGTCTGGCTTAAGGAGGTAGCTGGCAATAATGCAACAGCACGGCCATCAGCTGCTGCCTGACCACTTGCAGGGCTGCAATTGGCTGGTGCCTGAGCTACACTGGACACTGACACTGTGCTGGAGGATGTTACCACAGGCAGCCCCATCGTGTCAGCTTGCTGAGAAGAGGAGGGTATAGCCTGGCCGGTGGCTGGAGGTGGGAGGTTCGGGCTGGGCTGAGCTGCGAATGAGCCTGGAGGGACACAGAACAAACCATTAGGGGTGAGAACTGCCATGACAGGCACAGTAGAATTGGGGAGCATCAGCTGAACCACCATGCCACCAGGTAGCACCAGGGCTGGAGCCGGTGGCATTGGGGCAATGGGCTTCAGCCTACGTTGGGTGCTGGCAGCAGCAGGTTTAACAGTAGCAGCACTCATGGCTGAGGAGACAGCTGGCTGGGTCTGGCTGCTCTGTGGTGCTGCTGCTGGGGAGCTCTGTTCCAATACCTGTGGCTGCACTGTTGCATTGGGTGTTGCCTTGTCAGGTGTAACCCCTTGGACTGAAGAATGGTTCCTGGGTTTCAATTTGCGCCTCTTCCTCCTCCGCAATTTGATTTCAGCAGATTGTTTGTGTGTTTCAGAGGCACAGCCCCCAGCCTCCTCGCTCAGCGAGGCTGCCAGCTGAGCCAGGGAGGCCACAGACTGTGGCACAGCACCAGCAGCTTGGGCTTTCCGCTTCTCAGTGAGTAACTGGAGGACTGTCTTTGGTTTATTTACTGGCGGTGGGGCAGCCAGTTTAAAGTGACTGACCTCCATGGTGTCTTTGCTGCCCACGCTGATGACACTGTCTTTTACCTGCTGCAGGCAATAGGGGTCTTGCCTCGGTTTGTTACCACGCTGCTCCTTTTCTAGCAAGACACAAAAAAGACATGAGATGGAGACAAGAAAAGGGAAATGATTTGATTTAATTTTGATTTTAAGTTCTTCTTAAGTATACTAGAATCACGGTATCATACAACTCATGAGGAGGTGAATCTGTACACTCTCTGTCTGTGCTGGCCTTGTAAAGGTTCTACCTGGTTAGTCCCAATGACCCCTTCACTTTGCCCATGAAAATGAAACATTCACAGGTTAAAATATTATCCAATTTCCTTTTGAAAGTTAGCATAAATCCACCCTTTCAGACAGAACAGTCCAGATCACAACCTTGCTGTATTTAAAAATGTCTCTCCCACACTGATTTTTACCAATTTCCTCCCATCTGCATCCCTCTGGTGACTGAATCGCCTCCCATTTAGAAACAGTTTCTCATTATTGGATCAAAATCCCTCAATGCGATCAGCTATTGGTTCCCCTCTTGAAGTGAAGTAAGGAAAACCAACACAGAAGGCTCCAGGGTGACTTGGACAGGCTGGCTGGGCAAAACTCGGCAAATGCAGTATAATATGCATAAATGTGAGGTTATCCACTTTGGTCACAAAAAACAGCAAGGCAGGTTATTTCTGAATGGTGGCAGTTTAGAAAAAAGGTGAGGTGTAACGAGCCCTGGGTGTCATGGTGGAACAGTTGCTGAACGTCGGCATGCGGGTGCAGCAGGCGGTGAGGAAAGCTAATGGCATGCTGGCCTTCATAGTGAGAGGGTTTGAGTATCGGAGTAAGGATGTCTTGTTGCAGTTATACAGGGCCTTGGTGAGGCCACACCTTGAGTATTGCGTGCAGTTTTGGCCCTCTACTCTGAGGAAGGACATTCTTGCTATTGAGGGAGTCCAGTGAAGGTTCACCAGACTGATTCGCAGGACTGACATAGGGGGAAAATACTGGATCGACTGGGCTTGTCCTCACTGGAATTTTAGAAGAATGAGGGGGAATCTCGTAGAAACATATAAAATCCTGATGGGACTGGGCAGGCTAGATGCAGAAAGAATGTTCCTGATGTTGGGGAAGTCCAGAACTAGGGGTCATGGTCTAATAATAAGGGGTAAGCCATTCAGGACTGAGATGAGAAAGAACTTGTTCATTCAACAGTTGTGAACCTGTGGAATTCTCTCCTCCAGGAAACTGTTGGGGACAGTTTGTTAGATATATTCCAAAGGGAGCTGGATGTGGTCCTTGCAGCTAAAGGGATCAAGGGGTATGGAGAGAAAGCGGGAATGGGATACTGACATTGTATGGTCAGCCATGATCATATTGAATGGTGGGGCAGGCTCGAAGGCCCAATGGTCTACTCCTGCACCAAGTTTCTACATTTCTCCTCTGCAATAATTTACTGATGCTCAAACAACTATTAAAATTAATCAGATTGATAGAAATCTACGATTGCAAAAAGGTGAAGGAATATAGATCAGCAGTGGATACATGGAGTTGAGGGGCTGACTGGCCTCCAGCTGTTCCTAATTTCTCTGATTAGAGACCAGACCTAGCTTCTCCACAAAAACCCCTCATCTCTAAACCAGTCTCCTTTGAACCCACCCTCTCAACCTGGAGGGGTACCTACAAGCTCCCTCGTAGTGATCACTTTAGCCTAATCACAGGGCCCCAGTAAAGCCCTGTATTTGCCAGCTCAGAGTTCGGAGTGGAGCAACATACCACAACGCCCAGGCTGCAGAAAAGTAAAGTAATCTGGTCAACCCAAGGTTCGGCTACACATGACCATCAGAAAGTATCAGCCATTCTGTAACAAGTTCCACTTACACCTTAAATGATTGTGGGCTCAAGCCCCACTCCAAAGCCTCGAGCCCATTTGTGCTGATAGTGCTCAGTTAGTACTTCATTAGAACTGAGAGAGCGGCCTTTTGGAGGAGGTCTTAAGCCAAAGTCTGCTTCTTGGGTGGACAAAAAAAAAACTCTTGTGGCTTTTATTTTGCAGATGAGCTCTTAGAACAGTGAATACAGAACAGTACAGCACAGGAACAGGCCCTTCAGCCTACCATGTGTGCGCCAACCACAATGCCAATCTAAGTTAACCACACATGCCTGCACAGGGTCCACATTTCTTCATTCCCTGTTTGACATGCATCTTCTAAATATCCTCTTAAACATCTCTATCGTATTTGCTTCTACCACCTCCCTTGGCAGCACATTCCAGGCACCTACCACCCTCTAAGCAAAAACCTTGTCTCACACATCTTTAAATATTCCCCCTCTCATCTTAGACCTATGCCCCCTTGTATCTGACATTTCTACCCTGGGAAAAAGACTGGCTATCCACCCTATCCATGCCTCTCATAATTTAATATATTTCTACCAGATTGCCCCTCAGCCTCTGATACTCTGGAGAAAACAATTCAAGTCTGTCCAACCTTTCCTTATAGCTAATACACTCCAATCCAGGCAACATCCTGGTAAACCTCTTTTGCAGCCTCCCCAAAGCCTCCACATCCTTCCCACAGTGTGGAGACCAGAACTGTACACAATACTCCAAATGCAGCCTCACTAATGTTCTATACAACTACATGACCTGCCAACTTTTATACTCAATGCTCATTCTGATAAAGGCAAACATGCCATATATATTTTTTTACCATTTTATCCACTTGTGTTGCCACTTTAAGGAAGCTATGGACTTGCATCTCAAGACCCCTCTGTATATCAATGCTCCTAACGGTCCTGCCATTTCCTGTATACAATCCTCTTGCAATTGACTTCCCAAAATACATCACTTCACACTTGACCACATTAAACTCCAAGGGCCATTTCTCCACCCAAATTTCCAACAGATCCATATCCTGCTGTATCCTTTGACAACATTCCTCACTATCCACAACTCCACCAATTTTCATGTCACCTGCAAACTTACTAATCAGACCATCACCTTTCATCCAAATCATTTACATGTATTACAAATGGAGATCCCTGCACTGATCCTTGTGGAACAGTACTGGTAATAGACCTCCAGTCAGAAAAACACCCCTCTACAACTACCCTCAGTCTCCTCTGACTGAGCTAATTTCATATCCAACATCCAACTCACCATGGATCCCATTGAATCTTCTGGGCCAGGCTACCATGAGGGATCTTGTCAGATGCCTTAGTAAAGTCCACGTAGACAACATCCACTGCCCTACCCATATCCATCATCTTTGTCACTTCCTCAAAAACCTCAATCAAATTTGAGAGACAAAACCACCCTGCACAAAGCCAATCTGACTGACTATCTCTAATAAACCCATTCTTCTCCAAATGCAGGTACATCCTGTCCCCCAAGAAGATTCTCCAATAATTTCCCTACCATTCTCCCAGGATCCTGGTCCAACTATTATTGCTCAATCAACATCATTAAAAATTAGGTCACTGTCACATTCACTGCTTGAGAGCTTGCAGTATGCTTTGCAATTAAAAGAAGTTTCAAAACTACATATTGATCATAAATATTTTTGAACACCACTCCCTCCACTACTGGCGTTCAGTAGCATCAGTAAATCTATAAGATTCACTGCAGAACTTGTCCAAGGCTCCTTAGACAGCACCTTCTAAACCCTACCATCTAGAAGGACAAGAATAGATACAAGAGAACACTATACCACCATTCCGTCACTGTCGCTGGGTCAAAATTCTTCCCCCAACACTGGGTACTCCTACACCCCGTGGATTACAATGGTTCAAGGAGGCAGTTCATGATCACCTTCTCCAGGGCAATTAGGGATGGGCAATGAAGTTGATCTAAACTGTGTCACCCTGATCCCATGAATAAGGAAAAAAAGGTACTTTGAAACACACACTGAGAAACCCACGTCTTTCTTTAACAAACATACAAGGATGATGTGTGCTACTGCAAAGTCAAAGGTCAAAGCATCACTATACTTTCCAACTTGAACCCCACTCACAGTAACGGTACAATGCCCTGGTGAAAGGAAAGAAACCTCACACCAGTGACAGCCACACCACTGGGAAAGAGCAGAGCAGCCCTCCTAAATGGAGCCCTCAATCCGGGATGAGGATAGTATGGAGGAGTGAAAAACAAAATCTATGAGAAACCCCTAAGTATATACAGTAAAAAGCACACATGTACTGGCACATGTATGACATTCAAAATGTTATACTATACCGGACAAACTTTGGGTATCCTCATTCATCTGCAAGAGACAGAAAACACAGTGAGGGCAGGTCGATTGACACAGTTTGCTCAGATACTATTCTATAACCCAAAGAATCTCATCAGTACACAATTACTATTAAAGCTGAAAAAAAAAGACACTGAGAAGGATAAATCTATTACAAACGCTTTCTCATGGTACCCAATAGACAAGTGTGGAGGGTTATTTGACTGAGGCGCACCCCAGCCACACAATGACCTTGCCTGAAGGCTAGTTGTTAACAGGAATCACTGGACAGCACTTAGACAAGGGGCAGAATGAATTCTGGCTTCATTCAACCCTTGCCCTGGGGGCTGGAAGGACCTTGGCACAAATGGCTCCAAACCTCTGAACCACTGGGAAAATAGCTGTACATTACTGAATATAATTTGGATCTTAATCAAGGCCCTACCTGTCTCTAAAACCTTGATCCAACCCTTGCACGTGCCTTTCCAATTCCACGTTTACTTCCTCCCCCCTACATACTAATCTCACCTCTCCTTTTCCCCAAGCTTGAACATAGCCCCTTCACAACATTGCTTTAACCAAGACTAATAACCATAATTACCTTTTTTAGGAACTGCATGCAACCTTCTTTGTCAATCCGAAATAACTGCAAGCAACAGAGTGGCACAGTTAGTATGTGGATCCTTTCTGCTGTAACGGCACTCTCATTCTGCTTCCTGCCTCTCTCAAAAGGCAGAGTAAAGTAACTATCCCAGCTAAACCTGCTCATTGCATGTTCACGTACACTCACTTCGTATAGGGGTCATTTATAGTTGATTGCATCAAATTGGGTGGATTCTCTGTGCTTAGGTAAAACGAAAAGCAGAAATTTATCAGTGATGGGCAGGAATTCAACCCAAGAGTTCTTTGTCAAGTCCGTCATTACCAATAGGGAAACATGCCTCACTTCAACCAGCAACGTGATGGAGAGAGATTCAGGGTTACAAACCTCAAATGACATGAAAGGTTAAAGTACAGTATGGAGTTAGATACAGAGTAAAGCTCCGTCCACATTGCACCCGCTCCCCCCCACACTCCCAGGACAGAGTTAGATACAGAAGCATCCTCCGTCCCAATCTAAAAGGACTGACTGCTGAGCCACTTTCCCTCTATTGTAATATAAATGCCCATTTTGTGCCAATACTTTGGACCTGCATGGATAAGAAGGGAAATGGAACTGTCCCAATTAGTTGGCAAGATGGGACATCTAGTCTTTCACAACTGGTTACAAAACTTTGGTGCTTGAAATTTTAACATCGACTGCCTGACTCTCAGCACTGCCCAGAGATGTGGGCTCCTTTTAAAAAAAAAAAAAATCAATACCACAGGAAAACCTTACCTGTACCAAGAGCGTAAAAACAGGCGTAGTGCTTAAACCAGTAGCTTCCAGCCTCTCTCGTACAATGTCAGCTAGATAATAGAAGGAAACAGAGTCAGAATATGACATTAAATCTCACAGTACCATAACACTGAGCAGAAACACAACTGTTCATTTAGTCACTCTCTCTAGGCAGTTTTCATTGTATAAAGCTCACTACCATTTTAATGAATTTGCAAGAAATGCCTTTCCCACCATCACTGCTTGCTAGAATTATTTCATCAGTCCCCAATACTCTGCTTGAAATATAGATTCAGGGAGTGCCAATTCTCTACATGTTAAATAGAGGAGCCCAGCTTCCTACTTATGTAACTATAAACAACACTAGTCATTTCTGTTACACATCACACCAACACTTATCCCTCATTCTACATTCATTTAGATCGTATAGTTATCACAAGGCCATTTTTGGGATCTTGCTGTGTTAAGTATGTCAGCACTCCTACTCTACAAATCTGTGTGAAAGGAATTTTATAAACACAAGTCTCCACCATCTCCACCCCCGTTTTAAATAAACATGCCACACTGACAAGCCATGTCTGAAAGGAAACGTAGCATTAACTTTTCTGGTGTGGACCTGAAACAGAACAACTGTGCTTTCACTTCTAACTAACCTGCTATTTACAGCATTTTCCATTGCTGTTCTAAAATTGCATACAATCTAATTCAGGGCAGGTGGCCTGCCTGCATCAAGAAACATACAAAAACACAAAGACAAATTGGGAAGAATAGGCCACTCAAACCATGCAAGTCTACTCTGCCAGTCAGCAAGATCATGGCTAATCTGATTTTAAAAACTCAACATCGCTGCATATCCTCAATAATCTTTCATCCCTTTGGTAATCAAGAATCTATTTGAAAAAATATTTGCATCCACTGCCATTTGAGGAAGGGAAATATAAAGACACAATCCCTTAGAGAGAAAAAAAATTCCTCATCTATTTTAAATGGGCAACCCGTTACGATTAAACTACAACCCCTAGATTTAGGTTCTCCCACAATAGGAAACATCATTTCAACATCCACCAAGTCAAGACCCCCTTGATCTTTATACGTTTCATAAAGTCATAGAGCTGTACAGCATGGAAACAGACCCTCCAGTCCAATCTGTCCATGCCGACCAGACATCCCAAAGCAATCCAGTCCCACCCGCCAGCACCCAGCCCACATCCCTCCAGGTGACTTATCTCTGAATCTTCTGAACTCCAGAGGATACAGGCCTATCAAACATAGGTTGGTGAGCTTAGTGCGAGCTTGGATATGGGTAGCTGGGATCAGCTCAAGTAAATATGGGGTGGGAGGACAGCCAGAACACCACTGCAATAGTTGAATTTCTGTGCAAAAGACTGAATTAGGGACACAGCCCACAGGCACTGTATAGAGCAACACACCAAGAATGTCATTTGGGAGGGATACAGCAGAACACTGATTCTGCAGGCCTCTTGAATCAGGACAGTGCAGGGGAGCCCAGCCTGGAGACTCTGGCCTAGGTACTGTTGCCAAACCATGTGTCTCACCTTCTCTCCGATTGACCATCTTAGCTGCAGTCCAACGACACATCTCCGCAATGAGCTTCTTCTCCAGATTTACCCTGCAGATCTGGCGCACCGTCCTCTTAGATCCCCTCCGAACTCGCAGGGGTTTCCGGGAGACTTCTTTCACTGTTGGGTGTGCAGCAGTTTCGGTGGATGTTGCTGGAGCTGGCACTCCACTTTGTGCAGCTAGTTCCCTCTGTGCAAGTGAAAATAAAACAGAAAATGGAGGATCTTTTTAAAATTCGGGTCTTTCTCCAGACAGCTGAATAGATTGTTCACAGGTTAACCTGGTCACCTCTAGACTGGGTTGGGTATGGGTCACTGTTCCCTGAAAGGCACTGTCATCTGGTTTCAGATGATATTATTGAAGCAGACGGCATGAGGAAGCCATTCTTCCCCATGCCAGTTCTTTCGTAGCTATCCAATTAATTCCACTCTCCTCGTCCCCCAATAAATACTTTTCTATTCAATTCAGTTTTGAAAGGTGGTGTTGAATTTGCTTCCACTGTCCTTTCAGGCAGAACATTCCAGCTGATAACTCATTGCATAGAAAAAAAGTGAGCTACTTCTTTGGTCAATCGCCTTAAATCGAGTTCCTTTTTTTCCCCATCAGAACCTCAAACTCCTGTATTGAGTAACAGCAACGGGCATGGGTGGCAGAATGTTTTATTTTCCCCAAATGAGTGATTTAGAGTGCGTGACTTCAAATTGCAGGTTTTGACTGGACCTGGACAAGGTTACAGCTTCTCACTATTGTGATCAACTCCCAGGTTCCCTCTGAAGGGGCTCTTTCAGCAATATCAAAGCTCCACAGGATTTTTAAACAGATGAAACCCAATGCTTAGCCTGCAACTGAGAGATAGGAACAAAAACAAAAATTGCTGGAAAAGATCAGCAGGACTGGCAGCATCTGCAGAGAGAAATCAGAGTTAACGTATTGGGTCAAGTGACCTATTCTGAGAACTTAGTTTCTGTTTTGGTTTCTGATTTATAGCATTCACAGTTTTTTCACTTTTTGCTGAGAGATAGGAGTTCATCTTCCCTGAGTCACGTGTCCAGGCGCACAATCTCTCTGCTATCAGACTCTCCCATTCACAGAGCAAAACATTCCACACGTAAGTTTTTAAACAGACTGGAGAAATTATTTGGGGGAAAGAAGGGGAGAAAGAGCAGACTGATCCAGAGTGCGAGAATTCTTAATCTCATCTCTCCCAAAATTATTAGTGCTTTAAAAAAAAATTTATATTGATCCAAGTGACCAGCAACATTTAAAATAAGCAAATAAAGAACCCATTCTCCTCAAACTCAGAAACATGCAAGATCTTCAGATTTATTTACAAAATGTTTTGAAAGTGATCCAACATCTGTCCACTGAGGAGCCTTACCACTGTTTCTTTCTTGTCTGTTTTATTAGCGTTTGGAACAGCACTGGCTCGGCAAGACAACCGCCCCCAAAACCTGTTTGCTTTGGGTCTCCCGAGGCGGCTCGGAGCTTCAATCTTCAGGGTCACTGCACCACTAGCCCGGCAGCTTTCTGATTTATCAGCTAGCGCTTGCTCGTTTTCTACAACTGGTACCCAGCGGTCCACATCCAGCACCAAAGACTTGGCTGGATTCCAACAGCTTGCCTCCTGTTTTTCCTGTTCTGCTTCCTCGGATTCTTCAGAATCCTCCTCCTCCTGCTGCTGCTGCTGCTGCTGCTCCTGCTCTTCCTCTGACTCCATGAGTTCAATATTGTCGGAGGAGAATTCCGAAGACTCAGAACTAGTTTCCCGTCGCTTCTTTTTAATGCGTTTCAGCTTGCCCTTTCTCCGAAGTTTAGACCGGGCCCATTCCTTGGCCTGAAAAATAAATTAATTTGTAAAAACAAAACAGAGACACTTGTAATGGAAACACTTGAATTTCTGTGGCCTCATTTATCACCGCAGGACATCCAAAAGTGCTCTTAACAGAAAATAAAGTAGCCTTGCAGTGTAGCTACTGTCATATCTATAGAGGGATGATTCTGATTGGCTTATGTAGCTGTTCATAAATTCATTCTATTTCAAATCGATGGATTTTCATTGATCCCAGCACTGAACAGAACACAGACAAACACACGTTTAATACATTGTCTACCTCTGCCAACTGCTTAATTGGTAAATAGCTTCAATGTGCAGCCAGAAAGGGTTAGCTGATTTCAGTTGGATCTTAGCGTTCCTGGGTTAAGACAAATGTCAAGCCAATGCACTTCAGAATGTAGAAATCCTGACTTGCCTCATCCCACTCCTCTCGGGTCCACTATAGTTCAATTAACCCCACCTTAGCTGACATCAGCCAACACAGCACAGACCAGACTGAATTAGAGTCACAGTGAGCTGTAGATATCAATACAAGACTTTGTATTTCTATCAATAGGCAAAAAAACCACTATGATTGCTTGCAAAGGGCCATTTAGTTTTTGTAATTTATTCACGGGCATCCTAATTGTCCTCAGGAAGTTGGTGATGAACTGCTGCAGTCAGTTTGATGTTGGTAGACTTTCAATGGTGCTAGGGAGGGAGCTCCTTTCAGGAAACTATGAATGATTACTTAGATAGATTTTTTAAAAAACTGCAGCTGAGGAAAAAGCCCAATTTGGAGGAATTTCATCACAACAGAAGCATCCTGGTATTTTGCACAGTGATTCAAAAGATGAACTTGACTTTTGGTATATTATAAATGAAAGATGATCCCACCGCCAGCAGACTCTCACCTTAATGCCCGTTATTGCTTTCCATTTGTGCAAACACTGAGCTTCTGTTCTACCGACCAACCCTGCAGCTATCTTGGACCATCTACCTGTAAAAACATAAAAAGGTTCCAAAACAGAGTGTGGGTAGAGTTCCAGTATTAAATAATAAGCCAACATTCACCATATGGAACAGAGGCACGAGTTCCCACACTGTTTCCTCACTACCCGTCTGGAGACTTTGCTGACCCATAGTTTAAGCAATTAAGGCAGGGATTCTCAGACAATTGCCAGCTTAATTGAAGATAGAATGGAGCATAAAAGGTTAAAGGAAACACAGAATCTAACATATTTGATCCATTCATGTAACTTGCTTGTCAGTGACTCACTACTTCAGCAGTACAAGGGAGGGCAAAAAAAACAAAAAAAAAAACAAAACAAAAATCGGGCACAGGAATGTAGGGGATGGGAGCCTTGCTCTGCTATTAAAGTAGAACATGGTTGTTATTCTACTTCTAAAACCAAAGTAACTGTTGCAGGTTGTGCGTGCAGTAGGGAGGATTATATACGTAGGACTGACATGCAACTCATATCTTACCTACTCCATGTTTTGCAAGCAGCTCCCTGAAATCTCTCTCTTCCTCAGGTGACCACCTTCCTTTCCGGAGATTATGGTTCAAAGTGTTCAGGAACCTGTGAAAGAATGGACACAGTCACTGCCTAAAGCAGAACTTCAACTAGTGAGACCCTTCCCCTCAGCCATCCATAATTTAAAACTGAACATAACCTGTTAAAGTGCACCAGCTCCTCCCATGGCCCAAGCAGGGCCATTTGTCACACCCACATCAGTCCCTCTATGGGGTCAATTTCCTTCATTCAAGGAGCAGCAAGATTAAAACAGAGATGGGGGGGGTGGAAATTGCTTCTCTCAAAGGGCTGTGAATCTGTGGAATTCACTACCCTAGAGGGAGGTGGATGCCAGGATGCCAAGTAAATTTGAGGTGGTAGAGCTTTTTTTAAAATTAGTAAGATGTTGAAGGGTTATGAAGAGTGGACAGAGGCTGAAGTGAGACCAGCCATGATGTCGGAGCAGGTTTGAGGGGCTGAACTGCCTTCTCCTGCTCTCTGTTCTCCTGCAAAGCAAAACCACCACCAACAGCTCCATTGGCAAAAAGGACCAGGCTACCAAACCTCAGATTAGGGAAAGGGAAGAACGGAGGTTTGATCCCACACCTCAAAAGGTACCACTGATCACAGCCAACTGCCAGGTGAGGGTACGCATCAGATTCAGTGATTCAGGAATTATCTGGGGTTGGGGCAAAATGAAGATCAGAGGACACATCAATGCTCCGAACCACTCCCACGTCCCAACTCAAGTTTCACTAGAGCTCCTTGATGCCAAACTCAGTAAAACGTGGCCTCGATGTGAGGGGTAGTTAGTCTCACCTCAAGTCTGGAATTCAACTCTGCTCCATGTTTGCAAGGTTATAATAATGTCAGGAGATGAATGGTCCCGGTGGAACTCAAACTGGGCAGAGAGCAGGTCAATGCTGAACAAGTGGTGCTTGACAGCACCGTTGATTACACCTTCCATCCCTGGCCCAACCATCTTCAGCTGCTTCAATGACCTTCCCTCCATCATAAGGTCAGAAGTGGGGATGTTCACCGATGATTGCACAATGTTCAGCACCATTCCCAACTCCTCAGATACTGAAGCAGTCCGTGTTCAAATGCAACAAGATCTGGGCAATATCCAGGCTTAGGCTGACAAGTGGAAAGTAACATTTGCGCCACACAAGTGCGGGGCTATGACCATCTCTAACGAGGGAATTGAACCATTGCTCCTCGACATTCAATTGCATCACCATCACCCAATATCAACGTCTGGGGGTTACCAGTAACCAGAAGCCAGAAGCTCAACTGCAGTAGCCACATAAGCACTTTGACTACAGTAGCAACTTAGAGGCTAGGATTCCTGAAGTGAGTAACTCATTCCCCAACTCCTAAAGCCCACCCACTTTCTAAGGCACAAGTCAGGAGTGCGATGTAATACTTCCTACTTGCCTGGATGGGTACAACTCCAGCAACACTCAAGAATCTTGACACCAAGACAAAGCAGCCCTCCTGAACGTCACTGCATCCGCAAAGATCCACTCCCTCCACCACTGACATTCCCACTAAGCTGCTTCGTTGTGCATTCCAAGGTTTTGTGCATGATTGACATTGGCACACTGATCATAGCATTGACTTCCAATTCCAGAAGTTGCTATTGTGCATGGACCTCAGAGGCCCATGCACGCAGAAAGACAATTTGAGTGATCTCTGCCCACCACTGACGCTCAGTAGCAGCAGTGTGTATCAGCTACAAGTTGCACTGCAGAAATTCACCAAGGCTGCTTCAACAACACCTTCCAAACCCACAACCACTTCAAACAACATGGGCAGCAGATGCAGAAGGTGATGTACAAATGTAAGCTCCTCTCCAAGCCACTCACCATCCTGACTTGGAAGCATACCATTCCGTCACTGAGTGGATCAAAATTCTGGAATTCCCACCTAATGACATTGCAGCGTACCTACAACTAATGGACTGCAGTGATTCAAGGCGATAGGTCACCACCAACTGCTCAAGGGCAACCAGGGATGAGCAATAAGTTCTGGCACAGTCAGCAATATCCACATCCTGTGAGTGAATTTAAAAAAAAATCCCATCTAGCAACTCCTACAATATTGAGGTTGGGCAAGGAAAGAGTAAGTGCTGAATGATGCATGCAGATGCACAGGGTAGTGATCAGAAGCTGGGATTTGGTCAATATCAACTTCCCTGGCTCCTAGAAACTGCTCTGCAAAGATCTAAGCTCATACCTGCCCCTGCACTGAGCATCAACCCTCCCAGGGACCTCTTCCTGGATCTTGAACCATTCCCGGGTTCCATATTTCGCCACTGCCTTCAGGAGTAGCTGGAAAACAAATCACAACGTTAAAGACCTCCACCATGACAGTCCTGAACCCTTCTCAACTCCAGAGGAAAGCAGCTCAAAGCTCTCAAGTCTCTCTGCACCGCTTTGGCATTGGCTTAAGTGTCAATGCCTGGAGAATCAAACATGTGCATCTTTCCCAGTACCTTCCTCTAAAAGAAGGACCAGAACTGGTTGATACCACCTCGCTGCTTCTGCATTCTTTAGCTTCAAATACAAAACTAGGGAACTCCTTTATGCATTGCTTAAAAAATAAATCTGTCAAAACTTTTCATCCTGCACTCATCAGACCAATTCACAGGAATACCAATTCAAGGAGAAAATGTCAACATTTATGGTGTATGAGTATGGTGATTGGTTGGTAAGTGGACTGACTGCTAGATGGAGAACGCACCAATTAAAGGACATTAACAGTGAACTGCTGGGCTTTGTTTAAATTTTAAACTAGATTGGCCCTCTTGCAGTTCAATGGAAGTGCCCCTGCCCTGGATCAGAGAGGCCTGGGTTCAAGACCCACCTGCTCCAGAGATGGGTAATAATATCTCTGGACAGGTCGATTAGAAAAATAGGCTAATAAAAAAATTTAAACCAGCATGGCTCCTGTGGCACTGTGGGAGAGTCCCTATCTCTGAGCCAGGAGCCCATATTCAATGCCTGTATGCTCTGGAGGTGTTTAATAACATCTCCGAACCTGCCGATTATTAAATAAATTTTAAAGGGTGATTGATACTTATTGGTTAGGGCATTGCCCTGATGAATGAGCAAGCAAATGTCATCACCTATTTAGTTAAGTTGTATTCTTGGGAATTGTCCTGTTATGTGCAATTTGAAATTTTCAGCAATCCTCAAGTTCTGTACTACCATAAAAGTTTGACTCTGCCTTTATACAAATTGGATTAAGGTGACCAGCACAGAAGGGAGCCAAGTGCCTACCACATCCAGGCTGGATGCATGGGAATAATTAAACAAAAGATCTGCCTCACGGCAGTGACTACATCACGGAGCCCCACGTGGGACAGTGAGAGAAATGGTCAACAGCTGAAGCGAACCTACCTCATCTTCTGTGCGTGTCCATGGCCCCTTCTTCACTGAGGGATCCAATGACTTTGACCAGCGGTACAGCAGCTGGCTGCTATTCCGCCCCTCCATGAAATACGCAACTGCAGTGAAGAAACCAGACAAACAACCTCATACTTTAGGATCATATCCATACGCGTTGGAGCAAGACTCTCACATCGGGCAAAAGTTCCCATTAAAAAAGGCTCAACTTATTTGGGTATGAGCATTTCTTTGTGCACGTTATGAAACAGGTGCCAGGTCTCCATGAAAATGCTGATTGATTGTTGTAATTCACAGACACTGCCACTGGAACTCCCTCACAGCACTACTGTAAAACCTTCACTTTATAGAATGTAAGTGATTCAAGAAACCACCTTCTCACAAAGCAGTTTAGGATAAATGTTATCTTTAACAGGGATGCCACATTCCAAGAATTAATTAGTATCCACAGCAGCAGTTCCAGCTTCTTCTGACTGTTGGGTCTGACTGTTGAGATAAACTAACTTAGGCCAAGTGAAGGAACCTTGCATGTTCATCAAGGCCAGCATCACCCATGAGGCAGGGTCTATACACACTCAGCTATCACGGGTAGATCCCAGTTCAGCTGACTAGCAAATGCCCTCAGGAGCAGAAAGTCTGGCTGATCTCACACACACACACAGCCCTGGTTGAAGGTAAATAAGTTAGTGCCTGGAAACTCAGATTGGATCACCAGGTGAGCTAGGAGCCCATGGTCCGTCTAATACAGAGAACCACAGCGATGGGGCTGACCAGAATAATGTACCATTTGTGGCAACACGTGGATTATTCAGGTGCAGCAGACAGGGCATTCCCTGGCAACAGTGTGAATGAACAGTAAGTGAAGAAAGCTCTCAGTGATGACAAAGTAGCAAGAACTCCTGCTCCAGTTCACCATGTAGTATGGGAGCCCCAGAGTAGGAGCAGTGTGTAAGTCTCTCCACAATTGAATTTTTAAACATACACACTCCCTGACTGCATGCACATTTGGGTACCTCAAGGAGGACCATATCGGCATGTACCCTAATACGAAACAGAGGAGAGTTGCCTTTGGGCAGGAAGTAGTGGAGGGAAAACAATAATGTATGTCTGAGCTCACAGTGCAGCCAACACTGCAGTGTCAGATACTTTCCTTGTTCTTTAAGTAGCATTACATACATCAGGCAGAGGCAAGATGCAAGACAGAGCTCTCACTAAACTGCCATGTCAATTAACACAAATCACTTTGTATCATGCCCATCACACACTTCCACCAGCCGGAGTCGTCATCTGCAGAAGATGAGGCTTGGTACAGATCTATCTGCACAGCCCATTTCAACCTTCAAAGTTAAGCTCCAGAGGATGCTGCCCTGCAATCTAGGAGCACTCACTCTTGGTGTACGGAATGAAGTTTCCAACTCTCATCTTCTGCACTAGCTCCGTCAGCATGTGGTCTTCTTCCTCAGTCCATTCTTTCTTCCTTAGTTCCTTGTTAAACTCCTGGTATTTCTGAAGGCACATGAAAGCTGTACGGTTCGTCTGTCGGGGCAAATGGGAGGGAGAGATGCAGGGATAAAAGGATATTTTTCAAAACTGTCACTTTGCACAACCTCCCGAATACGATTGACCCCCACCTCAATGTTGCATGGTCTTAGGTTTAAGGCTGGAATAAATCTGGTCTGAGAGCCCACTGCAATACTGGAAGAAATGCAGAAATGCCGGCTGTGATTTGGCAAGTCTACTGTCTAAATGACAGTGCTGTACATGAGGGATGAGACTGATGTGGGGCAAGCAAGCTGCAGGAGAGAACAAAGTTGCTGGAAAAGCTCAGCAGGTCTGGCAGCATCTGTGGAGGAGAAAACAGAGTTAACGTTTCAGGTCCGATGACCCTTCCTCAGTTCTGAGAAAGAGTCACTGGACCCGAAACGTTAACTCTGTTTTCTCCTCCACAGATGCTGCCAGACCTGCTGAACTTTTCCAGCAACTTTGTTTTTGTTCCTGATTTACAGCATCCGATGTTCTTTTGGTTTTTATTAAGCTGCAGGAGAGGTCAGTGTTAGTCATATTTTTGATGCTCCTTCACAAAAACATTAGAAAGGAAACTCCCAAGAGCTACTTTTTTTCGGCACTGAGTTAATTTCAGCACAATCAGCCCAGAGGTGGGGATTATGAGCCAGAGTTTCAAAGATTCCTTCCCTCGATAGATACCCAGTGAGCATGTGGGTGGCCATCACAAAGACTGCATTGGAGACTTCACTTTGGGAGCATAGAAGCCTCCTGGTCATGTTACTGAATAGCAATCCATACACCCTGGCTAATAGTCCAGTGTTTAAATGAGTGTTTCAATCCTGTGATGAGATTTAAATCCTTGTCCAGAAGGCAGTCAGCCTAATTCCACAGTTACAGCTGACTGCTGAGCAGAGCGGAGTGCTGGAAAGCCCTCCACTACAGCACATAAAATATTATGGGTTAAAAGAGATTGTGTCAAGATACAGGTCAGCCACATATCAATGGCCAACTCCTCTTCCTAAAACACATCAGGATTAAGGATGGCAACTACGGCTCACAGAATCCCTACAGTGTGGAAACAGGCCCTTCAGTCCAAAAAGTCCACACTGAACCTCATAATATCCCACCCAGACCCATCCCCCTATAACCCACCTAATCTACACCTCCCTGAACACTATGGGCAATGTAGCATGGCCAATCCACCTAGCCTGCATGTCTTTGGACTGTGGGAGGAAACCAGAGCACCCGGAGGAAACCCACGCTGACACGGGGAGAATGCACAAACTCCACACAGACAGTCGCCCGAGGCTGGAATCGAACCCGGGTCCCTGACGCTGTGAGGCAGCAGTGCTAACCGCTGAGCCACCGTGCTGCCCCTTCATCACCTCCTTGCAAACAGGATGAGGCTTAATTGGGAGTTCTCCCACTGGAAAATTGCCCCAATGTACACAGAAGCATCGTGCCTGTTGTGGAGACTGGGAGGGAGACCTCCATACCTGCAGCTCACTTGTGATCCACTCCCAGTCCACACAGCCATGCTGCTCGGCGATCTCAATCATTCTCTGCACTTCTTCCTTACTCCACTCTGCTTGGTTAATGCTTGGATGTTCAGAATTCTGCCAGAGGTTTTTAATATCTTCAGCCTTGCGAGTACCATCAAACTGTGAACAAAAGAGCATTCTGTAACTGCTGAATAAAAGATAGCAGAATCGTCATGGTGTAGAAGGTGGCCAATCAGCCCATCGTGCCTGCACCAATTCTATTATCAATCCCTGTTCTGACCAACTCAACATAACACAATTGGTAAAAACAAAAGAAGTGGAAGGGGCAGTGGTGGTGGGAAAAGGAGTCAATGAGGTCTCCCCGTCTTGGTAGATGCCTTGTACACTGTACTCAATCAGCACTCGTGGTAACGTTCCAGAGGCACAGTGTGATACTCTAGATTCAAATCCCACTGCAGCAGTGAATTTTATTAACAATGATTATGAAAAAGCAGGAACGTTGCAAAACAAACCAATCTGATCCACTAATATTCTTGGGGAGGGGGGTCTGGCTGAACTTGACTCCAGATACAAAGCAATGTGTTTGATTCTTATAAAAGCAAAATACTCTGGAAACTGGAATTTAAGTAAAGACAGTGCTGGAGAAACTTTGGCAGGCCTGGCTGTATCAGTGGACAGGGAAAGAGTTAACATTTGAGTCCAATACGACACAATGGAATCATTGCTCTTACAGTACAGGAGAAGGCCAACAATTCAAAGATTCTTCTTCCAAACTCTGAATGGTCATATTGCACTTGAAATGTTAGCTCTATTTCCCTTTCCATGGATACAGCCAGATCTGCTGAGTTGCTCCACCACTGTTTTTATAGTGGATTCCTAACAGCTTTTGAAATGCTCCAGCAAACCACTCAGTTCTACCGATCCATTACAGAAAACGCTGTGGGGTGGCCTACAGCATACAGGCGGCTCTGGTTCAAGGTCATGCCCACTGATTTTTGGGAGCCTCCGTGGATTTAGACAAATAGGGTTGATTTGAAAGTGGCTTGAACTGCTCAGCAGGAATCCATCAGTTCGGCAGGTTCAAACTGTCACTCATTACTTTAGCTAAGCAAAGCCTGTACGAATACAAGTCTCATTTTCTCTATGGGCAGGTATAGCAGTTGACTAATAATACTACTTGCGTACTATAGGCTAATCTTGAGGCTTGGACTCGTGACCTGGATATAAGGCTTCAAATCGCACCATGGGAGCTGGGCAGATTAAAATGTTAGTTACAGGTAAGTAAATCTGGGATAAAAAGTCAGTATCAGTAATGGTGACAATGAAACTACCAGACTGTCAAAAACACTGGTCAAATTCACTAAGCTGCCATTCTTACGTGTGACTCCAGACCCACAACAACATAACTCACTCTGCAATGGCCAAACATCAAGCTACTCAGTCAAAGTGATAATTCACCACTATCTGACAGGGCAATTAGGAATAGGCAATAAATGCTGGCCCAGCCTACATCCTGAAACAAGTACACATGGGAACTGCCTCCCAAACAGAAAAAACATCCAAGTGTGTACTTGCTGCCCTGTTTGAAAACTGGAAGGTATCCAGGGCCATCAGTGCCTGCAAAACATCTCAAACCAAAGTCACTATATTCACTAGAGGCCCAGTGGAATGGGCAGTATAGGAGAGACAATAACAGGGACAGACAAAGTAATCTAACAGCAAGCAGATTAAAAGTAGACGTACTTACATCAATATTGGCAATCTTTATCCAGTCGTGGTCATCAAACCTATTTCCCAACAACTGGCGTTGCGACATCTGGCTATAAGAAAGTTAAGGAGTAACACTCTTTTATAAAGCACAGCTTGAGTTACTGGCACTGCTCAAACTCTGAGCTGCAAGTACTCGGTTGCCATTCTCAGGCTTCAAATCAAGGCAACTGCCACAACATCAAATCACCACTTGATAATAGCTTCACTCAGTAATCTTAATTAAATAGAAAGGGTTAGGGGAGGCCTTGCTCAACTCTCTGCAGCCAAAATATTGGGCAGTTTCTTAAAACACAGCAAAGAATAATGATTCTAATATACCACAGTGAGGCTGAAGTAGAATTGCTCAGCAGACAGTTCCACTGCAGCACCATCCTGGATGGTCCAGGATGAACTTTACTGATGCTGCTGGGTTACTGCTGTCAGCTTTAAAGTACGTGCTGGAGAATCTCTCAAAGCTCCTGATGCAGGTTCCCCCTTACACGCCCATCCTTGTTTGTTTGTTTTTTTTTTGAGGGGGGCTGAGGGAAGAGAGGAGAGATGGTCGGTGCTCAGAAACCAAACCTTTCAACCTCAACGCGGTCCCACCAAATAAGCCAATGTGAGCTGAACTTGGTGACGGCAGTTCCAGAAACACTGGTGGCTGCAGACAACGCCTTCTGCTTGTCATTAAAGTCTTCGACAAGAGGGAAATCTCGTACAGTAAGTACTTTATTACTAGAAAATACCAGCACCCAAAGCTATCTGCATTGAATATCATAGATTGACACACAACTCAATGGCTCCATGGTTAAGTGCTGTCCCAGTACTGCCAGCCACAGGGACAGAAGGTGGCCATTCTGTCCCTCGAGCCTGTTGCACCATCCTATCAGACACTGATCAGTTAGCTCCGCCTATCTGACGATACCCAATTTCTACATTCAGCCTCTCCACCCAACAGAATTCACTCTGTGTTCTGCAATTCCAATGGCCAAAGGCAAGCTCAGCAGATAGTTAATCTGCACAGAGCAGATGGGAGCTCCCTAGTGGCACCTGGGAGGTTTAAATCAGAAATATGCACACAACACATTGTCCTTGGAAGGAGTACAACATAAATTTACAGGAATGATACCTGGGCTTCAGTGTTTATGTTATGAGGAGAGATTATACAAATTAGGCCTGTTTTCTCTAGAATTTAGAAGGTTATGGAGCGATCTTACTGAAGTCTTCAAGATATTAACAGTAAATGACAGGGTAGATAAAGGTAAAACATGGCCCACTGGTTGGGGTTTCTAGAACTAGGGGACAGAGTCAGAAAATTAGGGCCAGACCGTTCAAGAGATGTTAGGAAGCACTTCAACACACAAAGGGTCATTGCAGTTTGGAATTCTCTTTCACAAATGACAGTAGGTGCAGGATCAATTGTTAATTTTAAATCCACGACAGATAAATACCTTTGCTTAACAAAAATTAAGTGATATGGGCCAAAGGCGGTTTTATGGAGATGGACTGATACAGATCAGCTATGATCGCACTGAACGATGGAAAAGGTTAAAAGGAGTTGAAAGGCCTGTACCTGTTCCTTTTGTCTTGAACACTGTTCTCTCAACTTCAATCAAGGTAAAAATGGCAGGTGCTAGAATATCATAACACGAGCCTGTGTTAAATGAAATGCTGTGCTGCTTTGGGAAGATTTTAGTCAAAACACTCATTCATGACTGAAAATGCTTGGTATACTTTGTGGTACCTTCTGCTGACTGCTTTAGAAAGTGATTGACACTCAGTATAAACAGGACACAAATACTGCCAATGGAACAATCAAGAATAAATGAAACAATGCTTTAAAAGCACAGAGATATTTTTCACGAGATTTCAAAATATGCCACAAAGTAACAAAACAAAAATCACTATGCAGTCAGAGAAATTAAGCTTGCAAACAGACCCTTTGATCCAACTCATCATGCCAAGCAGATATCATAAATTAATCTAGTCCCATTTGCCAGCATTTGCCCCAAATCCCCTTAAAACCTTCCTATTCATACACCCAACCACAGGTCTTAATTGCTGTAATTGTACCAGCCTCCACCACCTCCTCTGGCAGCTCATTCCAAACACACACCACCCTCTGTGTGAAAATACTGCCCCTTAGGTCCCTTTTAAATCATTCCCCTCTCACCTTAAACCTACGCCATCTAGTTTGGCCTCTCCCACTGCAGGGAAAAGACCTCGTCTATTTATCCTATCCATGCCGCTCATGATTTTATAAACTTCTAACCTCCAGGGAAAACAGCCCCAGACTATTCAGCCTCTCCCTGTAGCTCAAACCCTGTCCCCAAACCCTGGCAGCATTCTTCTTTATCTTTTCTGAACCCTTTCAAGTTTCACAACACCCTCCCTATAGCAGGGAGACCAGAATTGCACGTACAGCCGCAATATGACCTCCCAACTCCCATACTCAATGCACTGACCAATAAAGGCAAGCATACGCAATACCTTCTTCACTGTCCTGTCTATCTGTGACTCCACTTTCAAGGAACTATGAACCTGCACTCCAAGGTCTCTTTGTTCAGCAACACTCCCAGGACCTTACCATTAAGTGTATAAGTCCAGCCCTGATTTGCCTTTCCAAAATGCAGCACCTCACATTTATCTAAATTAAACTCCATCTGCCACTCCTTGGCCCATTGGCCCATCGGATCAAGATCCCGTTGTACTGAGGTAATCTTCTTCACTGTCTACTACACGTCCAATTTTGGCATCATCTGCAAACTTACTAACCATATCTCCTGTGTTCACCATCCAAATCATTTATATAAAATGACAAAAAACAGTGGACCCAGCACCGATCCCTGTGGCACACCGCTGGTCACAGGCCTCCAGTCTGAAAAACAACTCTCCACCCCAATTCGGAGATAGCAAGACCGCACTTACTGGAGTCAGAGTCAATACAGTGTGGAGCTGGAGCAGAAGAGCAGGACAATCAATGCTTCAGGTCAGGACTCCTCATTAGGACACTGACCCAAAACGCCAACTATCCTGCCTGACCTGTTGTGTTCCTCCAGCTCCACACTGTATTGCCCCCACTATCACCACCCTTTGTCTTCTACCTATGAGCCAGTTCTGTATCCAAACAGCTCGTTCTCTCCCTGTATTCCATGTGATGTAACCAGTCTACCATGAGGAACCTTGCCGAATGCCTTACTGAAGTCCATATAGATCATGTTCACTGCTCTGCCCTCATCAATCCTCTTCAGTACTTCTTCAAAAAACTCAGTTAGTGAGACACAATTTCCCCAAGCACAAAGTCATGTTGACTTTCCCTAATCAGTCCTTGCCATTCCAAATACATGTAAATCCTGTCCCTCAGGATTCCCTCCAACTTGCAGATGTCAGGCTCACCGGTCTATACTTCCCTGGCTTTTTCTTACCACCTTTCTTAAATAGTGGCACCACATTAACCAACCCCTAGACTTCCAGCACCTCGCCTGTGGCTGTCGATGATACAAATATCTCAGCATGGAGCCCAGCAATCTCTTCCCTAGTTTCCCCACAGTGTCCTAGGGTAGGCCTGATTAGGTCCTGGGATTTCCATGTGACTTATGACGCCCAGCACCTCTTCCTCTGTAATATGAACATTTTTCAAGATGTCGCTATTTATTTCCCCACATTCTCTATCTTCCACATCCTTTTCCACAATAAACACTTAGTACCTCCCCCATCTCCTGCGGTTCCACACGTAGGTGGCCTCGCTGATCTTTAGGGGCCCTATTCTCTCCCTAGTTACCCTTTTGTCCTTAATGTATTTGTGGAATCCCTTTGGATTCTCCTTAACCCTATTTACCAAAGCTATCTCATGTCCCCTTTCTGCCCTCCTGATTTCCTCCTTAAGTATAGTCCTATTGCCTTTATACCCTTGTAGGAATCACTCGATCCCTGCTGTGTATACCTTCTTCAGGAAGAGAGAGTATAATGGAGAATTAGCTACTAAATACATAAAATGCCAGATCTTGTGGCTCAGGTGCATGACATAGATCCTGCAGCTTAGTGGAACAGTGCGACAGCTCTCTGGTTTGGGCAGCATCCAGTCCCCGACTTATACCAGCACTTATGATTCATCTTACTACCCTGCTCACAAAATAGCAAACTTTTCCTTTAGGAGGTGACCGAAAAGAAACATCTCAAAAATTAAACTTCACAAACAAAATAAACCAAAACTGATGAACCTTTGAGAGTGTGGCAAAAACCTGTGTTGGATGTTGATGAACCCACAAACTGGTTTATTTCAGTGGAAGAGAATGAACATGAGCACACACACAAACATGAATGCGCAGATGTATTTCTCTCACAAACAAGGCCAGAGCAGGAATCAGAGAAGCTCTCCTCATGTACCACAAGGGCCACCTCCAGCATATAGAACAATACAGATATTAGAATGTGCATTGGTTAAGGAGGCGAATTATTGCTCGAGTAGATACTCTTCTAAAAATGCCTGTTGGCAGGAAGGTTATCTCACTTGATGGTGTCCATTTCTCGCTCGGTTTCTCCAATTTGCTTTGTGAACATTTTTTTCTCTGTTTCATCACGGGACAGTTCCAGCTTCTTGTTTAGATATTCAAGCCTAGAAGTATAAAAGAATTCTAGTGTAAATCCTGACTGTTGCTGAGGTCAGTCAGGGCTTCAGCTGCTGCCTGGCCAGTGACCCCTATTGGTCAGTGAACAAACATCAAGCAAGGATTGGAATCAGTCGCAAAACTCAACAGCAATGGGCCTGTAGTATAAACCTCCCCCCCCCGCCAAATAACACATTGCCTGGGTTTGTAAATGATGCAGTTATTGCATCCAGCAATGTAGTAGGATCTGCTGGGGGGTGGGGGTCAGTTAAAAAAGATTGACAGAAAATGC